GAGGTCAAGCCATCTTAAGCAGCATGCCGAGCATACAGACTACCCAGCCCTGAGTCAGCTGCCACGAGCATTGGATCCAAGGATGAGAACATTCGGTTGGAATCAGAACAGACCACTAAAGAGTTAGGGACTTTATTAACCAGCTACATATCAATGAAGAAGCCAAAGCGCACCTTTCAGCTCAGCAATGGAAATGTGAGTATCCACGTGTCAAGCCGCACTCCGAGTCCAATGGCAGAGACTTTAGTTTAAAACCTATCTGTAGTATTGGATCTTCTACCAACACCCGGAATAGCTATGCTAAAAGGGATGCCGTGGTAGGATCACTATACGATCATGGAGAATCGAGCCGAGGATTGGATTGGATTGTATTGAGTTACGAAAAGGCAGAATTAACTACAAACGACTAAAACGAGTCCGACCGCTGAACACTGAGGTATGTATTCCTTCATTTACAACCGCAACAATGAAGATAAACCTGGTGAGAGCTTTTTACTAAAACTCAAAACCCCTGGACAAGCCACGTACTAGTCAGGTTGTCAAGTAGCGGGCAGATGGGTTTCGGTAGAGGTTGTCTTCTGAGCAGATTTACTACATCTGAAGAAGAACAAAGAATATATGGCCTCTTGGTTAGAGCAAAGGGTATACTCAACGCACGAGAACTTTCTTAAAGACTTTGATATTAAAAACGGATATCAGCGATATCGACGTAGTGGTTTACAACTTAGGCAGAACTGGAAGAGGTGCCGGAGGATTGATTACTATGTAGTATATGGATGATGAAGAGCAGTATCAGGAATATCGCAAACGGTTTTTTTTTACCGAGAAAGCTCTCCCAGGGGATCAGACGATGCAATGTTTTTATTTTGTAGAGCGAGTTCAAGTCTCCTGAAAATTTGACTTCAGATAAGAAGTCACACCGTAGCTGATAATCCTTATCATATGAGGCTGTGGGTGTGATTCCTTCTGGATACCGCTTTGAGGTTCACATGTACATAGATGCCTATACCCAGTGCAAGGGTTTGGGGGTTTCAGGGTTTTATCACGGTGTTTTAAGAAAAGGCACCCGAAGATACTGTTTTGAGAATACGGGCGTATAATGCTGAGTTGCGTGATTGGTCAACGGCTACTGAGCGTTTGGTACAGGTGCGCCTGTAGTGCAAACTGTGGTGCGTACAAATCTCTATGAGGCATGGTTGTCATGGAAACGAGGATATACATGCGACGACGCCACTTTAAAACCGATAGCAAATAACTTCAGCCCATGACATAGTCGCAAAAGGAATTCAGCCAATGACACAATAGCAAAAAAAAGAATTGAGTCAATGAAACAATAGAAGAAGAACAATCGCAGCTTGAGTAATGAAGTGCGGGTATCCAGACTTCATTTAATAAATATTTCGAGGCCACATTCCGTCTACTTTCTGCCATTGCTAATCAGTATCCCGCCCCAACATAGCAATAGCTCCCGGTATTGTTTTTACGAATACCGGTACACGCTCCACAAGCCATGGAAGAGGTTGCCTAGTTGTTCTAAATATTATCTATGTCAATGTATGGGTTGTGTTGTGCTGTAGGTGTCAGTGGGTGCTGTCATCCGCCCGTGTGCATTGTTAGCCGGGTGGCCAGCGTCAATGACCATCTCACACCCGACACCAGAGTTGGCACCAGTTGTGTTGATACCAGTTGACATCAGTTGTATTGACACCAGTTGACATCAGTTGTGACACCAGTTGACACCAGTTGTGTTGACACCAGTTGTGTTGACATCAGTTGACACCAGTTGACACCAGTTGTGTTGACATCAGTTGACATCAGTTGACACCAGTTGACACCAGTTGTGTTGACACCAGTTGACACCAGTTGACACTAAGGGACACGTCTTCGATTAGATGCTGCCTTGTAGGTGCTCGTTAACCCTAATTGCACTAATATATACAAGCTGCCATTTGCCAGACGAGACCAGGCCAGTGCTACTCCTCCGGTCGCCTGCAGGCGTAGACAAGTATGACAGCACAATGCATCGCATCTAATCACATCGCAATACATCTCGTCTGTTGGGAGAGACCGCAGGTCAACACTCCACCATCAGTGTAGTGTAGCACGTGTCTCATACAATCTCGGTGTTGTGCTTAGCCATCCCTGCCTGCCAGCTTGTCTACATGGTGCGAGTGTTGGCAAGGCAAGCTACAGCCATAGTGTACCATACTTGTGAAGCCACAGATACCAGCCATCGCCTGCACACGCGTACAGAGGCATATGGCTATCCTTATTGTCACCTGCAGACACCAGTTGACCTGCACCCGTAACTCCTGCTGCACCTGCACCCCAAAAATGGGGCCGTCTCGACTGTGTACTGAGCTTATGGGCCGTAGTGCACCACTTGCCTGTTCCTTGCGCCCACATTGTGGACACGTGTGCTCCATCGCACAGAGTTCTAATTTCGTTTCATCGGCGGCGGTGGCGCAGACCGACGCGCTGTTGGAAGAACGGTTGCAATGTATACCAGGTTAGTGGTGATGCAGTGTAGTGAAGTGGATAGAAGAATCCAAGCTACCTGCAAATAGCAGGTTGAATACTTCCTGACAGTCATGACACAGTCATAGAAACGGGTATATGGGTAAGAAGTGGGCAGCATACATATACAAGAAGCGTGCTAGTAATATGCTCGTTTATTTCTTCAGCGCCCTGATATACTCGCGTATGTCAAATAATATCGAGAAAAGCAAAATACATACTACATCCGAGTATTAAATCGTGTGTCATTACTTTCACATACTGGAGTTAATACAAAAGCATGCTGTGATAGACAGGCTTATTCCTCACATGAACAACATCTGTATATAAACACGCACATTTATATGTGTGTTCAGATGCAATATATTTATAATAAATATATATATATAT